TACAGTTTATTGATATCGCTGTTCCTGGAGATGCCAGACTCAAAGAAAAAGAACTAGAAAAAATCATGAAATATCGTGACCTGGCCATAGAAACTACACGGCTATGGATGAAGCATGTAACTGTGATACCCATTGTCATTGGGGCACTTGGCACCATGTCCAAGAATTTTACAAGATAGATCAACAAATTGCAGCTTCCTGCAATAACACCAGGGGAACTGCAAACAACTGCACTACTCAGAACATCTTATATTTTAAGAAGGTACTTGGTTGATACCTAGGACACTGGCAGCAAACCATATCAACCATTAGCACCAGTCACTGGTATTTGTAATGCATTTTTGAATCCTCAGTTGGCTGAGTTTCATGTTTAATGAATAAAGTATTATTATTTTTAAATATTCAGTTGACTGAGTTTCATGTTTAATGAATAAAGTATAATAGTAATAATAAATTTTTAAATGTTCAGTTGACTGAATTTCATGTTTAATGAATAATAATAATAATATCATCATCAATCATCTCCTGATTTGAGATAACATTCCATCCAAAAGAATCCTCACATACCAACTATTCTTTTAGCAATCATTCGAAGTTATAGATAGTTCTAATTTTTTTTAAAAAAACTTTACAGCTGATTTGCAACTTTCCCAGTGCCTGACAATCATGTTATCTCTATTACAGACAATAGATGATGTCCTGTGGTTTTCTTCTTCTTCTTGCAAAGCAGAGAGATTGGGAAGGAAGGGATTTCCAAAGAATTTGCTCTTATATACATCAAAAGCAATGTGTTCACACTGGCAGCCCAGGCCTAGGAACTGGGCGCACTGTGCCTACTGCTTACAATATTCTATTGAAATCTTCCTCTCGAATCTCTTCAGTTTGCAAGAGAGTGGGAGAAAAAAGGCAAGCCGTAGGCAATCTTTCCTTTGCCTGACCTTACCCAGCCACCCCCGCCCCCCGCAGAGCAGACAGGTTGGAGAGGAAGGGATTTCAAGAAAATAAACCGTTTGCTTTAGTACACATCTAAAGCAATGTAATCATGCCATTAGCAGGAAAGGGTCGAAGCAAACAGTATGTATGCCCTCTTAAATCTGTTTACAAGCACAGGACGTAGATCAAACAAAGTTGGAATATGAAGATCAAAAAGTAACATTTTTTTCCTCTAACAACTACTTACTCCTTCCTGGAGAAAAGCTCTTCACTCCATGCCTATGTTGTCCTTTGTCAACTTAGCAGCCATGTTGTTAATTGGGTTTTGAGTACAGCAAGTACTTGCTAGCTGCCTGCTATTCTTAGATTTCTGGAGGGAATTTTGAAGCACATTAGCATATATCATGTCCTATTATTTCCCTTGTTTTCAGTGATCACAGGACAACATCGGAGTGGTGTTATTTCAGCCCGGACACGAATTGATGTTCTCGTTGAAAGCTTTCGTAAAAAACAACCCTTCACACATTTTCTATCATTTGCACTCAACCAGCCTGCCATCCAAGCGAAGTTTTTACAATTCAAAGAGGAAGTGTTGGAGAAATGTTCCCATGTAAGTTTTCATTATAATATTCGGAAACAGTGGAGTAGACAGAAAGTAACTATGCTTTCCTTTCAAGATTGTTACCAAAAGAGAAAATAATGTTTTAAGTCTTGCTTGGCATATTGTTTCTTGGTCTTATCCCGCTTGTTCAGTGTTTTCATCTTCTCTCAATCCTCATATCTGTTTTCATTTTGGAGTGAGAATATATTAGACAGATGAACCATAATGGAAGTGCCGTTCATTGTCTACTTTTGATATAAACGAACACCAGCCAAAATTCCCAAGAGAAAACAATGGTAATTTAATTTACTACTTTGCAAAGAGGGTGCACCATGCACATGCAGGTACAGTGAACACACCTTAAACCATCTATGTGTTTTCTTTATATTTCCTATCGCCGTTGCAAATTTATCTCCCACCTTTTTCCTCATTGGCTTAGTACTCATGGCATCACAACCTATCCGAAACGTCCAAAGTGAATACATTATCTCTGCCCCGATTACATCTCCCATTGCTCTAATTCTATCACCCCCTGCCCTTATTTACAAATTACCTTTTACAGTCCTAGTTCCTAGGGCTTGTCTCTAGAGTAACTATCGTATCAGCAAATAATGGTTAAGACAGTGAGGAGGTTGGGGAGCAACGTGGGCCAGACCTGGAGTCTGGGGAAGGCTCTGATGAGGGCTCTGTGTCGGAGGCAGAGATGGGACTCAGAGCCATATGCCAACTATCAGCTGCCTTCAGAGCCAGGCATTAGTGAGGCTGACGAATGGTTTATAGCAGAGCAGAGCAGTGGTGGGATTCAATTTTTTTTACCATCGGTTCTGTGAGTGTGGCTTGGTGGGTGTGGCAGAGGAAGGATACTGTAAAATCTCCATTCCCACCCAACTCCAGGGGAAGAATACTGTAAAATCTCCATTCCCCCCCCCCCCACTCAAGGGGAAAGTTACTGCAAAATCCCCACTTCTTCCTGATTAGCTGGGACTTGGGAGGCAGAGAATAGATGGGTATGGGGCCAGTCAGAGGTGGTATTTACCGGTTCTCCAAACTATTCAAAATTTCCGCTACTGGTTCTCCAGAAGTGGTCAGAACCTGCTGAATACCACCTCTGTAGCAGAAGCCTTCCGACATACAATTCTCAAGTTTCAATCTAGTTTATGAGATTAGAAATGTATTTTCTTCACAGGTTGGCATGTCTTATAGTTCTGCAAAAACAATAGGCTCTGTTTCCCACAATCTATAGCCTAAAAAAATTAGGACGGCAGTTATGAATTACATTTTTCTTGTTTGAGAGGCCTGGAAGTATAGAATTTTGCATTTTTTTTATGCCAGCTTCATCACTGTCATGACGTGGTGAAAAAGGAAGGGAAAAGTGGGGCGGAGTTATTATATCTATATATATTTATAAATCAGTGGCTACAGCAGTACAATGGAGGGAGCAACGGTTACCATGGTAACCGCTCTAGACGGAGGCAATGATACCGCATCATTATTCAACAACAACCAAAATGCTAATTTCGGCACCTGAAATTTGTGTGCTTGCTGATCTGCGTTTCTGATTGCTATTCAGTTATATCTGAATAGAGACGTCATTAATAGTTTGCTCTGTTCTGAAGCTCGAAAGAGCAGCACCAACTGCGCCCGGCAACAGATATATTTTCAGGTTCCTCAGAACATCCTACAAACTTCCCTGCTGTTTTGCGCAGCTCCAATAATATATCCTTATTATTGGGATGCAGTGCATAGATTTTTCCAAGACTCCTGGGTTTTCTGGAGCATCCTGCAGTGAAAATGATGGGGGCTAGGAAGAGCAGGGGTGACTATGAAAGACAGACCCGACAGAGATGGGAGTCTCAAGCAAGCAACCAGGCTGTACATCTTCAACCCAACTGGAGCCAAGTGGAAAGTAAAATTATGTATTTCCTAGTCATAAAAAGTAGGCTCTTGCAATGACATAATTGTATCAGCTGGCCAGTTTGGGGGGAATCCAACAGAAACTCCTTAGAGCAGGGGTGTAAAACTCAAGGCCGGGAAAGGTGGCGGGAATCTGGTTTGCAAGGTGCTGAGATCTGGCTAGTGGGGCCGCCCTGGAAACAGCGAAGGAACAACCCACACTGCTTCTGCCAGCGAAAAACGGAGCTTGGGAGGGCTGCGCGTGACTCTCCCGAGCTCCATTTACTCTGGCAGAGGGTTGCAGGAGGCTGTCACAGCCTAAAACAGAGCTTGGGAGCTCATTTCCTCTGGCAGTACAATAGCAATAGCAATAGCAGTTAGACTTATATACNTTCCCTATTCTTTCCTCCCTCTCGCTCTCCCTTCCTTCCTTCCTTCCTTCCTCCTTTCCCTACTCTTTCCACCCTCTCTCTCTCTCCCTTCCTTCCTCCCTCCCTTCCTCCTTCCTTTCCTTTTCTTTCCTTTCTTTCCTTCCTGTCTTCCTTCCTTCCTGCCTTCTTGCCTTCCTATCCCACCTCAAAATCAATTTTCACCATGGAGCTTCCTTTCTTCCCTCCCTCTCTCTTCCCCTCTCCCTCCTTTCCTTCCTTCCTCCCTCCTTCCTTCTCTCTTCCCTTTTCTCCCCTCCCTTTCTTCCCTCCTTTCCCTTCTCTCTCCTCCCTCTCTCCCTTCCTCTTTCCTTTCCTTTCCTTCCTGCCTGCCTCCCTGCCTTCCTATCCCACCTCAAAATCAACTTTCTCCATGGAGCTTTGATATAATGTTGTGCAGTATTTCTATATCATCCGCAGCTGAAGAGGGGAAAAAACATCAACTAAAGAGTAAATTGTTCCCATGCTCATTCTTCTTTTCCCCTTCTTTTGGTTTGACCCGGTCAAATTTGGATGATAACCTCAATGGACAAGAAGCTCTTATCTTATATTCTGTAAAGTTTCACCGCACACTGATGAAAAATGAGAATGACAGCTACAGTAGCTACAATGTTGTGAGATTCTTGTTTTCAACAAAAATTGGAAAACAAACTGTAGTCCACCACCAACTCAAATCAATAAGCATTCTTCCTTTTTTAAATATCTCCTTCCTCTTCTTTCCCTCTTCCTCCTCTTTCCTTCTTTCCTCTTTCTCTCCTCCTTCCTTCCTTCTTTCTTTCCTTCCTCTTCTTCCTCCCTTCCCTTCTTTTCCTCTTTGTCTTATTCATCTTTTTATTTCCTTCCTTCTGTCCTTCCCTCTCCCTTCCCTCTTCCTCCTATTCCTCTTTCCTTCTTTCTTCTTCCTCTTCCTCCCATTCTCCTTCCTTCCTTCCTTTTTTCTCTCAACAATGCTTTTGAATTCCCCGACACAATTGTTCAACTTCATAGATATTTATGATATGAGAACTGGAGCTTAGGAATAGATTCTGCTTTTATGGAATGTCTGCTGAAATTCATTGACACTGAATTCCAAAGGAATTTGGCCACTAGATATGAAAACATGGGTGTTAATCAACCTGTCTATGGAAGATTCTCTATCAATCAGATCATGGTTATCCAAAGCTACTTTTTCCAAAAGGCAAGTGGACTTTTCTGGAGGATTTTTTTTCCAGTTCTGAACTGAAGAAGGTTCTTGAATGAAAAACAAGATGTTTGCAAAGAAAAAACCCAAGAAAGTCCAGTTGCCTTTTGGAAAAACCACCAATCTTCCATTAGGGGTAGTCCTCAACTTACAACAGTTCATTTAGTGATTGTTCAAAGTTACACCGGAATTGAAAAAAATGACATGATGATTTTCACACTTACAACCGCTGCAGCATCTCCATGATCGCATGATCAAAATTCAGACGCATGGCAACTGGTTCATATTTATGACGGTTGCAGTGTTCTGGGGTCGTGCGATCCCCTTTTCCAACTTTCTGATAAGAAAAGGCATTGGGGAAGCCAGATTCACTTAACAACTGGGTTACTAACTTAACAAATGCAGTGATTCACTTAGCAACTCTGGCAAGAAAGGTGATAAAATGGAGCAAAACTCACTTAACAAATGTTTTAACAGATTAACAGAGTTGGAAGGGACTTTTTGTAGGTCATCTACTCCAAAGCCCCCGCCCATCCGCCCAAGCAGGAGACCCTACACCATTTCTGACAGATGACAGTCCAGTCTCTTCTTGAAAGCCTCCAGTGATGAAGTTCCCAAAACTTCTGAAAGCAATTTCTGTTCCATGGGATGATTGCTCTCCCTGTCAGAAAATTTCTCCTTATTCCCAGGTTGTTCAGTTTCCATCCATTATTCCTTGTCTGGCCTTCAGGTGCTTTGGAAAATAGCTTGACCCCTTCCTCTCGCAACATCTTTTTTATAACCAAAACTGGATGCAGAATTGTAGATGTGGTCTCACTAAGGTTTATAGAGTGGTATTAATATCTCACTTGATCTTGAGTGTATCCCTTTGTTAATACAATTTAGGAATGCATTGGCTTTTTTGGCTGCCGCTGCACACTGCTGGCTCATATTTAACAGGTGGTCTACTAAGACTCCAAGACCCCTCTCACATTTACTGCTATGGTATTAAGCCTGTTTTCACCCAGTCTATATGTGTATTTTTGGTTTTCCTTGTCTTAGTGTAAGATGTTACCTTTCTCTACATTGAATTTCATGTTTCACTTAGCACAATGATGGTGAACCTTTTTGGCACCGAGTGCCCAAACCAGAACGCACAGACATGTGCGTGCATGTGCGTGCATGTGCGTGCATGTGCGTGCATGTGCGTGCATGTGCATGCATGTGCATGCATGTGCATGCATGTGCATGCAT